AAGGGCTCTACTACAAAAATCACAGCTGGCTCCAACCCCAAATGTTTTAATTCTAAGATTAAAATGCCTAACAGACAAAACTACAAAACAGATGTCAAATGTCAATCAGAAAATTATATCTGATTTAAATTAAGTTTGCATTTCTTCTTCCTCCTCTTTCCCTTTAGCTACCCCTTTACAAATACCTTTGCAGCAAAATGAAAGCCTGCAAGTATTTAAGTGTGTTGAATTTGGAAATGAACACAGGTGCTGATAACAGCCTTACTTCATGGACTACCAGAATGGAACTACTACACTAATTCCAATAAGCAATTTATTGGCTTACATATGTGGCTCATGCCTTCAATCATGTCATCACACACTTTTTTTTTTAAGTTTATATTGATATAGAATTCCATTAAAACAACCCTTAACAAGGCATGAAGATAAGCTGTCATTTTAAATTTCAGGCCAACAAAATAGAAAAATAATGACACTTCAATTACAGACAGAGAAATGAGGTGAGACAACATTTCTGTTTTCCTGGTGAGGAGAAACACTTTCTCTGAGACTGTCAGAATAATTTTGAGTGGAGCTAGGTGAATACAGTACACCATGTAAGATCATCTTTTCACAAACCAGCAGTAATCAAGTGGCTCCTGTGGCAACACAGAGATGCCTCACTCATAAACAGTCATGTTATGCTACTTAGTCTATATGCAGAGATCTTGCCTCAACACCATTAAAAAGAAAATGCAAAAAAAATGGTATGACAGAGGAAGAATCATAAAAATTGTATCACACCATCATATAAGAGAGTGAAAGCAGACCTAATATGAACTCTGAAAAGGCTCATGAAGGGTCTCTACAGTAAAGATATTTCCTGGACAAATGGGCTTCACCTAACTCTTATTTGTATTCTCCTGTAAGGATGAAGCTCATGATCAGGTGGACAACTCAAAGCACCATGATAAGGACTTGAGCAAAGGAACACAAGTCCACCTACTGAATAAAGCAATTTTTGGACGAAACCTTAAAAAAAAAGTTCAAACTGGGAAGAAAGGCAGGAAGAAAGTACAGGTGGCAAAGTAGTCGTTTGTTTTACTCTTCTTTTTTTACAAGCAATCCTATTATTAAATCATCAGTCTTTTCTTCACAGATCATAGGCCTTTTTCTTTCTTTATACTACTTCTCCTTTGTAGCATTGCTATTTCTAAAATAACTATTATCATCTTTATGATATGACATTCAAAACTACCACGGTACGTTGAACAGAAGATTTTAATTAGAACATGGGTTCCAGATATTTAGATCTGAGTTCTGTATTTTGGAAAAGCAACCCCAAGACCACAATTTCACATAAGTGTAAGGCAATGCCAAGTTGATGCTTTGCCACTCCACTCAACTCTGTTGACAAGTGATTGCTAAAAACTTAACACATCACAGAGGAGGAAAAGAAAACAAAATTCTTTTGTTCCATGTTCTTTTCCACTAAAATCCCAACAGTTTCATATAGTGCAAGGTTTCCCACCATCATTCAGATCACATCTGATTAACGCAAGAGAGAAAAGACTTCAGCTGAAAGATGAGCCTCCACTTCATCCTCATTACCTTTCCAGGGCACAGTCACACAATCTAAATTAAGAAATCCTATCATAATATTGCAGCATTACAGTACATTGTATTACATACAGTAGATTTTTGGTGATGTATTTCATCATTTCCAGATGACCAAGGGCCAGCAATGTGCCTTTGCTCCAAAGAAGGCAAATGGTACCCTGGGGTGCATTAGTCAAAAATACTGCCAGCAGGCTGAAGGAGGTGATCCTGCCCTGGGGGGCCACAGTTGGAGTGCTGTGCCAGTTCTGTGCTCCTCAGCACAGAGCAGACATGGACATGATGTAGAGAGTGCAGCAAGGGGCCACAAACATGAGTAAGGGACAGGAGGAAAGGCTGAGAGAGCTGGGACTGTTTAGCCTGCAGAACAGAAAAGCTCAGGGCACAATCTTAGCAGTGTACATAAATACCTAACAGAAAGTGCACAGGTGATGGAGACAGGCTGTATCTCGTGCCAGGGCCAGAGGCAACGGGCACAAACCACAATGGAAGAGGGTCCATCCAAACATCAGGACACCTTTTCACTGTGAGGGTAACTGAGTCTAGGCACAGGTTGCACAGGGAGGCTGTGGAGTCTCCATTTTTAGTGATACCCAAAATTACCTGGACATTGTTCTGGGCAACTGGCCCTAGACCTGACAACTGCCAAAGATTCCTTCCAACCTCAACCCTTCTGTGGTTTGCTCTGTGAAGGAAATTCATCTGGGACAAATCTCAGCATTGTAATGAAAAATTCTGTCATCATTTCTGGTGTATCAACACCGTCTGGAAACACAGAAATGCACCGCAGCTCCTCTCTCATCCAGCTTAGCAGCTCACACTGGAGCTTAAGCTGCATCAAGTGTTGGGGGTTTTGTTTTGTTTTACTACCACCCAGCAAATATTTTCTGTGTCCTTTATGAGGTCACCCGGTGGGAACACAATCATCAAAATAAGAAAGGATGCCCAGTATTGAATTTAGGGATAAAAAAGCCCTAGCAATAGAGACTCTTTAACCTGTGCTAACTACAAGTCCTAAATACAGGATTTCTCAGTGCATTAAAGGCAAAGAAACATAGATACATATCCTGTGCCTCTTCCACCAGCCAGCCAACTTTTTCAGGAAAGAACATGACAGCTGTGCTATTCAGTAAGCTTCCGACATACAAAGGGAAAACGCCATCAGAGGTGTCTCCTCAAACAAAGTAACTAACCCAAGCATCAATTCCTGAGCTGATCCTCGTTCCCAAGCCTGCAGAAAACGCTACCGAGCACCTGAAGCGTGAGCGCCGAGAACAAAGTGCGGCGGCAGCACCGGCGGCGGCTGCTGCGGCGGCGGGCAGCGCTGACATCATGCGGGGCTGCTCCGGCAGCGCTGCCGCACCGAGCCCCGCAGGGACCCGCCGTGCCCGGCCCGGCCCCGCAATGGGCGCTCCTGAGCCAATGGTCTCAACAGGACGAGCATTCAGAAGCTTATTTTGCAGCGCAGAAATCAGAGGGATGGGGGGAAAAAAAACAGCGCACAATGAGCCTTTCATTCAAACAAGAAAGGCTTCCAGGAAGTACAAAGTGTTTCCAAGCCTTATCCAAAAGAAATAACAGAGGCGCTCTCCATTTTTATCAGCGGACACTGGAGGAGGCTATAGCCCAAGACACAGTTCGAAAGCATTATCAGTCACACTACCATGCATTATTAATAACACAACAAACTCAACAAAACACACCCGAATTCCACCTTAGCCCTTGTGCTGTGACATTATTGGAAATTTCTCCCCACCTTCTTTTAAAATCTTTTCTCGAATCACGTAAAAATCTGTCTCCCCCATAAACACCAAGACCTCTTCTCCCCCCAGCCCCACAGCTTGTCACAGGTAACACCATTCCAGAACGATGGTGGAACAGCAGAGACATCACACACTACAGTTTTACGTGCATACTACAGATGCAGTCCTTGACCAGGAAAGCAAATACAGAAAGAACAGCATGCTCCAGCTTTCAGACCTGCACATTCTTGACAGAATATTTTTTAAAAGGCACTTATGTCTTCTAGTTTGCTATTAGATAGCTAGTCCAAAGTAATGCACTGTTGGTTTTAAATTGAATTATGTGTGGAGAATTATTCATGTGCCTATCAAAAACAGGGAGCATTACTGAGTGTGCCTCGCACCACATTACACAAATAGATTTATAGTAAATTAATCAGAAAATTAACATCTTTTTAATTGTTTTTGATCCATAAACTTTGCTCATTTGTCAATTAAAATAATCCCTCTCATATCTCTCAATGAAATGGTATTGCATTTTGTTCTCTTAGATTTCTTAAATCAAATTGATACTGTAATTTGCAGTGCCATTGCAGAGCAGACTGTTATGCTGTACTCACTCCTCAAGCCTCAAACTGCAGCCTACAGTCTCTTCGACATTACACAAACGTGAATTCTCTTAGGGCAAGGTACTGCTCAGCATGAAGAACAGGTGAGAAATTTTGTTTGAAGCCATTAAACACAGAAAAGAGTTTCTGTAATAGCCAAAGTTTAGAAGAGCTCATTCAATGCAGTAAGTTCTAATAACATGAATCCCACTCTATGAGGAACAAGCATTTATTACTGAGGGACAGCTTAAATGCAACTATGTAAAAAATCCCATGACACCTAATAAAAGTAAACTAATTAAAAAAACGAGGTTGGGAGCGAGAGAATGCATTACTGGTCAAGTTCAGAGCTCAAGTACACAAAATCACTATTGATGTTAGATCGGGTTTTCACCACCACATTCCTTCACCTTTCTGAACGGTTAGGGATGCTGAGCAACACTGTGATTTAACTGAGGCCACTACAATGAGACTAAAGCTGAAACGAGGTGCTGCTAAAACACGGAACTGACTTTTTAACGTTAAAAACACTGCTTTGACACAGTGGTGTGGTCTAGATCGATGCGGTTTAGTTGTGGATTCGGAGTGAACATTCTCACCTAACAGCAGAGTAATCACTTCCTAATCCGATTACTTTTCGGATACTTCTGCAAGAGAATTCTTATCCCGGGCTACGAAAAAAAGGGAACGCTGAACACGCAAATGGTTTTCGCTTCCTCTCCCAAATCCGACTCCTTAAGAGCGCCCGTGTGTCTCAAACGCCAGGCTAAAGTTGATCCACGCGCCCGGCTCCGAGGAGAGCGCAGGCACGGCCAAGGCTGAGCCCCTGGAACGCGATGCCAGCGCGCAGGGCAGGCTCAGCCTCACGGCGCTGCCCTGCCGGGCACTTCGCTCACCCGTACCGAGCCCGCCCGGGCACCCCCGCGCGCCCGGGGCTCCCGGCGGGGCGCGGGCTCTCGGCAGCGCCCGGGCGGCGGAGCGGGCGGGCGGCGGAGCGGGCGGGCGGCGCCGCCGGACCCCGCCGCCCCCGCGCCCAGCGCCGCCGGCCACTCACCGGAGAGCTCGTCCGGCTCCAGCCCGGTCTCGGTGTCCAGCCCGCAGATGACGAAGTAGTCGGCGAAGCGGCCGGGTGCCGAGGAGCCGCCGCCGCTCATGCTGCAGGGCGAGGGGCGCGCAGGGCTCAGCGGGAGCGGGGCCGGGCGGCGCCGGCGGCGGGGCCGGGACCTCCGGCTGCGCCCGCCGCCTCCATGGCGGCGCGGGGCGGGCGGCGCCGCGCGGCATTCTGGGAACGGCCCCCGCCGCTCCCGGGGGTGGGGGGGGGGCCCGGCCGCGCGCCGCAACGCCGCGCCTGCGCCCTGCGCGCGGGGTGACGTCATGCTGCTGGTGCTGGTGGCGCTGCCGCGCGCGCCGGGGCTGCCTGAGGGGGCGGGAATGGCGGGCGGGCACGGCCGGGTCCCGGAGCGCGGCGGGGCGCTGCTCGCTGCCTCCGCACGCACACGGGCAGGGCATGGGGCACGCTGGAAGGGACCGTGCCCCGGGGAGGGCTCTGCTCCCTCCGCACGCACACGGGCAGGGCATGGGGCACGCTGGAAGGGACCGTGCCCCGGGGAGGGCTCTGCTCCCTCCGCACGCACACGGGCAGGGCATGGGGCACGCTGGAAGGGACCGTGCCCCGGGGAGGGCTCTGCTCCCTCCGCACGCACACGGGCAGGGCATGGGGCACGCTGGAAGGGACCGCCGCGGGTCGCCTGTTCCGAGCTGCCTGCTGACACGACACAGGAGTCTGTCCTGACCGGTCTTGAGTATCTTCTTGAGCAAAGCCTGATCCATCCTCTGTCACCTCCACTTTGGCGATTTGCACACATTGATGAGGTCCTCTCCCAGTCCATTCTTCTCGAGGCTGAAGAGAATCACAGAATCAATGAGGCTGGAAAAGCCCTCTGAGGTCGAGTCCAGCCTGTTGCGTCCCGTTCCCCCAGCCTCGCAGGAGGGATGCTCCAGCCCTCGATCAGGGCTGTAGCCTCTGCCGGACCCGCTGCAGGTGCTCCTCAGGACACGGATCAGCCTGGTGGCGCCCTGGAAGCGCCTCTGGGCTCGTGTCCTCCTGTCACCTCCATCTTCCCATCCCCACAGCCCCGGTGGCTGTCGTGACTCCACTGTGCAGGGAAATGCCTTAGGGATTGTTTGGCTCTAGTGTTCTTTTCTTTTTTTCCTCTTTGGATTAACATCGTACACATCTCTGTTAAGAGCTGTACTTGCACAGTACAAAGAAATCCACTCTCCCTTCTGGCTCAGTGTGGACAGGAGAACAAGCCCTGGGGCAGGATGACCAAGCAGAGCTGCAGAGGGACAAGTGACACGAACCCATGCTCTACCTTGAGAGTGCTCTTTTCCTCTGGCTGTAGAGGCACCTGTGCCGCCTAAAATGAAGCCTATAAGCAGTTCCCATTCCTCTCCTCTCTCAGTTCTCTATTTGTGGCGTTTACAATCAGAATCCTTCCGTATCTTGTAGAAGAGGAGAAATTAAAACTTTGAAGTCTTTAATGATTATTATCCAGGACAAACTAAGTAAAGGTTGCATCCATAATGGTGAATTGATCAGACACCAGCCTCACTTAAAACACTGCCAAGCATAGGAAACCTCACCTATTTGAGTTTCCATTGCCATGACAGACCAAGCTGTCTGTGTGAGTAGAAACAGCAGCACATGTAAGAAGATTTCACTGCCAATGGTTTACAGCCTTTTGCAGTACAACAACTAAACTCTTAGGCCACTGTGCCCAGTGAGCTGTGGACATCTAGACATCCTTCTGGGAACCAGGAAAACCTGTCAGGATAGCACTAGTGCAATCAGTGTTCACTTGATTAAGACTGTATAGCCAGAAAATGGTTATCAGTGAAGGAAAGCATTGCTTAGATTTGACTGAGAGGTCAGTTTTAAAGTACTATTTAACTTGGGAGAAAGATTTCAATAAAAGTGGCAGGGTAGGAGCAATATTAGAGTGAAGGGCTCGAGTTTACTCTACAAAAAGCACAGTTATATTGTCTTGAGCCTGCCTGGTGGTGTGTGGAAGGCACAACAGAGCACAGAAATAGCTAAATCTGATTGCTCTTACTCTGCTCTGTTCTCTAGCCATTTTTTGCACATTTGTCTTCTCAATCTGCTTTCAGTGTGGTAAAGGACAATGTATTCAGCACGTGGTGAATCTCTTTTAAGTAAGCTTGAACCGTACTTTAACCCTTATAACAAAAGCCATAGCCTGAGGGTCTCTTCTGACACTTGCAGGAACGTCTGGGTAAACAGCACAGATATTGGCAGGGGCTTTTTGTCAAATAAAGAGTAAAAGAGGGAAATAAAAAGTTGTTCTGCCTCAACTGTTTCAGAAATAACCATTTATTTTGTAAATAATCAGTAAATAAAGCTAGACGGGCCACTAAGTAAACAGAGGTTTACCAGAGATACTGTTGAGCAGCAATATTTAAATGCACACATGCCTTGCTATGCAACAGGGTGAGGAACAGGAAATATTTTTTTAAAAGGAGAGTCTCAGACTAAGAAACTCAGATTTGCTTTGAATTGCTATGAGAAATGGACAAGAGGGGTGGAACTGTGTGAACAAGAACCAAGGAAATGTTAACCCAAATTTTTGCTGTGGAAAGGTCTTTCCTATTTTGTCAGATAAATCCTCTGCGTTCCAGGACAACTTAGAGCACAGTCCCTCCCAAATCTGTGCCTCCAGCAGATGTACCTGAAAAGTTAGAGCTTTCTCCTCCCATTTTGCCAGTGATTCTCTTTTTCATTGTGTCTTTTCCCTCTCCAATTATTTCATTTCTGAAATACTCTTGCCTAGTGACCACAAAGAACATCTGTGACATCTACTTCAAAGGCCAGTAGCTTTAATCTGTCAGTCATCTTGACCAATGTTCCCATCACAGGAAGCACCCAAAATATGGCAATGCTGTCAGGAAACTGCAAATGGCTTAGATGTCCATGAGTAAAACAACAACACTCTAGACAACATTATGAATTCTTTAAAGTATTCTTTATGATGTTGAGAAAATTGGAATTGTGGAATTGTGAATTCTGTGGAAACTAGGATTCTTTAGCTAGAGAATCATAAGGACATATTAGTAAGTAGGAAGAGATTTAAAAGATTCATTGTCTTTGGCAAGACCATCAATGTTGATTCAGCTGATGTTTTCTATGGCAAAGACTTGTATTTTCAAGCTCAAACCTTTAAAATAGTCTTTAAAATAGTGAAGAACATAACTTGATACAAAGATATCTTGAGTATTTCCTCATACTACTTAATTCAGATTTACTTTGCCAGCAATCCAAAACTCTTTTGGAAGAGTTTATTTACTAAGCAATAGGAAAACACAACAGCAAATTACGGTTCTGTTCAACATTGCTCAGAGAATTGAAGAAGTCTGAATTGGGGTATTTCTCTTTTTTTCTGGGCAGTTGTTTCCCAAGATGAGCTAAGCTTTGAAAAGTAACAGAGCTCAATGCACAAACAAATTGCTCCAGTTGTCAGGGTGCCGTGGTGTCTTCTAATGACTGTGATTAAGATATTTACCCTGGATTCTTTAAGAAAACAAAAATCCAGTCAGTGACTCTTATAATTAAAGCAGTCCTCTCCACTCTGCAGAACAGACACTTGACTCTGGCTGCAACTTATTGACCATTTGGTGTGACATCTACATGACAGACTTGTGGAATACAGCCTGCACAGCAGATCATCTAACACAGAGATCCTCACACATCAGGGCACAGCTCAGAGCAGAACTGACACTTCAGGGGGCAGAACATTTCCTAAACTCCCATGCAGCACTGTCCCTTTTCTCCCCAGCTGCAGGAGCCCACACTATGGATTGAAGCTCAATTTACCAACAACTACAACCCCCAGCTCCCATTCCAGTGTTGCTCTCCAACACCTCATTCCCCAGTTTCTCCATACATCCAGGGCTGCTCCATACCGAGGTGCAGAATCCAGCACTTGTCTTTATGAAGCTTCATACAGTTGGTGATCCCTTGCCCTGGTCTCTGCAGGGCACCTGCCCTCCAGGGAGTCTACAGCTCCTCCCGGTGTTGTGTAGTCAGCAGACTTGCTTAATGCTCCATCCAGTCCTTACTTAGCATTCCTTCCAGTCCTGTATCCAGGTCATTAATGAAGCTGTTGAAGAGAATGGGGCTGATGATGGAACCCTGCAGAACCCCATGAGTGACAGGACCCACAGGTGATGTCACCCCATTCACTACAACCCTTTGTGCCTGACCCTTGAGCCACTCACTCACCTGCCACGTAATGTGTTTACCCAGCTGAGTGCTGGGCATTTTCTCCAGAGGGACAATGTGAGAGATGGTATCAAAAGCTTTACTGAATCTTCTTTATTTTATCGGGCATTGGAGTGAGAGTGACAGGCCTGTAGTTTGCATTCAGAAATCATTGAGAGAGGTCTTGTGATGACACCATCCAGCTCTCTGAGTACTCCTGAATGAATCCCATCAGGCCCCATAGACTTAATGGGATCCAGCTGAAGAAGCAAATCCTGCGCAAGTTCAGGGTTGACCAAGAGTTTATCTTTCTCACAGTCATGAGAAATCAGTTTATCACAAAACAGAGTCAAACATAGAATGATTTAGTGATCTTCCAAGTACAGTAAACACTGCAAATTCCAGGTTTCAGATACAACTCCTCAGGGCTGGGTTGTAAACGAAAAATCAGGAGTTACGAGTGTAACATTAGATCTCAATTCTGAGGCAGAATTTTAAAAGCTATTTCCCACTGAACCATTCCTAGCCCCTCTTGGGGGTCTACCAGGGCCTATAAACCTCTAAAGGCCATGAGGAGACCCCTGAAGTCCCACACAGCTGCACAGGAGCAGAATTCTCTGTTTGGAAGACTGTTTACAGAAAGGACCTTTATGAGGCTTCTCACATATACACCAGTCGCTAATTGAGCTCTCCTAATCCAGACCCAGATTCTTCCTTGTGTACTATAAAACAAGGAAATGGGAATTATCACACCAGGTGGAGCATTTTTAAGAACTGGAAGGGGAGTTATGGTGTGTTAGTAAATGTATTATGCCATTATTTATATTAATTGCTAGTACTAAAAGGCTGTAACTTCTTTCAGTTTGGGTGACCTGGAGCCATAAAGCCACCAGCTGAGACTTACAAATGTCTGTCATTGCAAGACATCAACTGGTCATAAAAATAGCCAGAGTATTTACTTCTCTTTGATGAAAATTTGAAAAAGTTGCTCTGGATCCTCCTTTCCCATCAAAACCCTTTTTCATTTCCCTCTTAGCACTGCCATACTAAACTATAGGGTTCCCAAACTCTACAGTACAACATAAGGAAAATTCTCAGAAACACACAAAAATCTTCAGCTGCCTAAAAACAAAAGATGTTTTGACTTTGCATAACAGCATCATTCGCTAACAAAAGGTTCTTAATTTTGACTTTTATTTCTTCTGCCTTATTCTTTCAGCAAGTTTTCTATACAAAGAAGAAAAAGCATTTCATAAACTGGCCTTGACAGAATATTAAGGGAAGGTGAATGAAGCTGCAATAACTTTGGCACAGGGATTTTCCACAAGAGATTAATTTAAAAAAGGCACTTTGTGCAAAAAGATATATTCAAAGAGACAGAAGTTGGACTCAGTTGCCTTCCAATACAAACCAGAAAAACTTTTTAAAATTGCTGCTGTATGTGAGGAATTAATTTCAGAGATAAAAGGAAGTCAAATTTACCTACTTATTTTGAAATAAATGTAGAAACAGAATTAATCTCATCTACAGATGTAATCAGCTCAGTTTAATTTTTAATCAGTCATTAAAAATACCATTTAAGAACTCAGCCCTTTTAAACAGGTTAATAAAAATTCAGCTTAGTGGGAAGCTCAAAATGCTTCATTATACTCAAAAAATACAGCATTTCAGATTTTATATAACAGCTTTATTATCAAATGGCAAGAGACACTTAGTAATGATGTCATGCAGGTATCACAAAAAACTTCCAAAAGATAAACAGGTCACCTAACAGCTCAAAAATCCCTTGCAATTAAAAAACAAAGCTACATCTTTCTGATGTCCTGGTTTGTTTCATGGTAGCCACTGTTTTTCTGTCAAAATGTTATGGCTATCTCTTGCATCATTTGCTGGATTCCCTAAAGGAAAGTGTAGGCTAGTACAGTACCCCACAGCACAGTGCTTTTTTTGCTTTCCACAAGGCCTGCCTCACTCTGCACAACGCTCAGAAGTCCTCATGGGATAGGGAAGCACCTCAGGCTGCTGGCAGCTGAAGATAAACACAGAAGGGATGGGTTAAAAAAATGCTAAAGTTTTGAAAAAGTAAAGAATCCTATTTTGAACCTTTTTAAGGTCTTAAGGCTTTTAGTTATTGTGATGGGAGGCCAGTCTTGTGGCTGAAACACATCAGGTCTTCAGTAACAGAGCCTGATCCCATCTCCATAGTGAAACAGAAGCCAGTGAAAATGCCAAGTTAGATTGAAAGAGAGTTCAGCTCCTCCTTTAGCGACAAGGCTCCACCAAAACACTGGCATGGGAGGGATGTTACAGCAGCTTCTGTTACTGCCCTGGAATTGAGACAGATTTTGAGAAAAGCCACTGTTAAATAAGTGGTAGGTAATTTATTCTGAGAGTTCGTCTGCATGAGGAGTTAACTCTGCAGGAAAGTAGGTTGTAAATCCACAGCAGCTTCACACTCAGTAGTCCTGGAGACACTTGCTCACATGGCTCAATTCACATCCAGGTTTACTGTGGAATAAATTCCCTGGGTAGAGGAGCTCTGGAGATTAGAATGGCAGCAATAAAAGTAATCGTTGTTCAGTTTTAAATGCCAAAGTACACTTTTAGAGTAAATTCTAAGTAACAAAAGAATTGCTGGAGCTGAGTGATCTTACAATAAACCTGCAAACAAAACTGATATAAATTCCTTTATACACTTATGTAAAAAATAGCATTTACTGTGCAGCCTGGATTTAAATAAAAGACAAATGGTGTACCAATAATATTTACTATATATTTACAAGTAATACTGTGATGAAATGAAGCAGTCAATTAACATTAAATTACAAAAATGAATAAACCCTTTAAAGGTACCAGTCAGTACCTTTTACACTATCACATTCATGAACTGTTCTCTTACATCTCGAAGATCTATGATATGATCACAAGCTGACACAAGGACACAGACCAATAAACCCTGGAACTGGAGCAGATGCTGATGTGTTGAGTCCCTCTCCAGCAAGACACTGCTGGGGCATCAGCTCAAACCATGTGAGCAGCACTGGCTTCAGTCAGATAAAACACCAATGTGGTCCCCAGCTCCTCCCTGCCCAGGGCTTGTTTGACGGGGTTCCACTGACAACACAACAAACCACAGCTGGAAGCACAGGGGAAGGTATCTTGTACCTTACTGAGAGAATACAGACTGCTACTGCAGGTGAGTCACGGCTGGCTGCCCACTGCCAGTCACTGCCTTGGCAGACAATGGAACTCCCATTTTTATATACACAAGAGCCTGCTGTTCCATGGTGCTCTGAACATTATTTGGGATCAGCTGTTTGATTGGAACTGCACCAGTTTGTGTACCTGACATTTCTTTAAGCTAATCAAGCTGCAATGAGAGATTTTATGCTCTTTACATATTGCTTGAGAAATGGTACCATCACACTGCTTAAGTGTTTTTAAATCACTTGAAAACTGCAAGTTTTATATAATCATACCATCACTTTCTTAAGCTGGCAGGATAAATCTATGCAAATGAAATATTGGCAAAATAATCAACATTAAAAAATGAAAATTAGAACTTAAAAATCATCAGCTAGCCAAGATAAGAATTCTAAGCTGCTCCCTCCCTTCCTCTATCTGCTCCCAGAATAAAGCTTTACAGGGACCAAGAGGGAATGAAGTGACACTTTGCCTTTGTTAATCCAGTAAGAAAAGCAGATGTAGGTTCAAGTATTTAATACCATACAGCACTAATAAATAGAGGTAAACAACCAGGATGAGAATAATATTGTAAAGTACTGCAAAGAACCTTTGTTTCTGAGTGAGCACCGTTACATTATTTTGAAACTCCCCAAGGCAAAAAAGAGAAATATTGTTAGTGAGAAATGCACTCAGACCAGACCACATGCAAGCCTACAGAGAATGTTACAAAGTTGGGGCTGAATAGTTCAGGGGGTTTTCCTGCAAGTGTCAGAGAGCATCACCTGTAGTTTATGTCTACACCACAATTTTTGCTCTGCATGTAACTAGAGTAAAATGTTACATCTATGTTCTCACTTCCCTCATCCTGAGGGCCACACATACACCATCCCAAAGTAAAACACTGGTGTTTGGTTACAAAACTATATGCAGTACATTTCTGAACACATTTCCTTCAGTTTAAGGCCATGTGTTCATTTAAAGACATTCTTATCAATCACAAACCTTCCCTATAATTGCTTAAGATCCAATAGAAAAGCAAATATACAAATATCAGAAGTGCTGATCCTGAGATGAAGTATGGGAAATTCTGGTCCAGTTTGATCCTTATTCAAACTTCTGTTTCAGCTTCTTCTGGAAGAGAGCTGGTAGGATGGAGAGGATGGCTAGAATCATGAGAACAAAAACAGAGTTCCAGGAAACAGCTTCCCCTGCTGTTGTAAGCTGGTACAGCGTTGTTCCTGCCTTAATGGCTACAAAAGATGGTGGTGCTACACCTGTAGCAAGGAAAGGATGAAAAAACAGCTGGTTAGGGTAAAAAACCCTTAAAAATTAGTAAACCAAATTTAAACACCAGATTATTGATACTTTGTTGTCTTGTACTTTTTTTTTAAAGAGGGCTGTAAATACAGAATTCAAAGATAAAAAACCTTTATCCATAAAACTGGTTTCAAGCCTTCATTAGTATTTTTTATGCAAACTCAAATACAGGAGACTAAGCAAATAACTTGAAATCTGAAGAGTCTAAAGAGCAGTGATTATCTCTTTACAAAGTGATTTTCCATAACTAAAAAATAATTAACCTTTTCCTAAAGTTCATAAAGGAAAAATACCACATTGTTCTCTAATCAGATTTAAAAGTATGTGCAAAAATATGCCAATTATAAAAGCTATAGTGTATACCTCTTCTTCTGGCCACCCCAAACTGTGGCTCACTAGCCAAGATTCTTACCTAGGAAAGTGCCAATGAAAAACACTTTCAATGGCACATTGATTACAGGAGATGTGATATTGATAAACCAGTTGGGAAGGAAAGGTGTTATTCTCAAAAATATTATGTAGTTAATGAGATGGTCTCTATGTCGTTCAACCTGCCAAAACAAAACCAAACAAACAAAATTTTGGTTAAAAAAATCCCTGCCTTGAAAATACACAGCCATAGAGGTTTAAAGAGTTTTTTCCTCTGTATTTTGTAGACATTTACACACTGCAAACATAAAAACCAGTTAAAAATGTGTGATGTGGGGAAGAGTGCTCAGTGAATCACCTGTTAAATACACTGAGATCAGCCTGGAAATAGCTGTGTGTGGCAGAGCAGTGGTGATGTGTCTGACTGACTCAGCCAACTCAAGCAGCAAAGGAGTCATAGGCAGAGCAACATCCCAGCCACCACAGCCAGCCTGTCACCCCATTCCTGAGCTTTTGCAGGAACTAGCAATGAAGTTTGCCCCTCAAGCCATTCTGTTCTAAGTTGTGATCAAGCCTGAAACACAGCTACATTCCTCACCTGGAAACGCAGCCAGGTCACGGCTCTGCACTTCGTGAGGTGGCTGCTCCTAGCACAGCTCCAAAGCCTGTCTCCCCTGAGGTTACAGTGCCCAGCTTGAACATTTACCCAGGAGCAACAACAGCTCCAACTTCATTTGTGGTTTCAATTATGTGCTCAGGTCTAGCCCAGCTCCTTACAGCAATGCTACAACAAAGCCCCTTCTCCCCCCGAGCCTGTCTAGCACATCAGCCCTTTCAGACAGCAAGTGCAATCCAAGCTGCAAGGATAACCAAGCATCCACAATTCTGGCCTATCCTGGCAGACCTGCACTAAGCTTAACCCTCAAATAGTTAAAAAACACACCTGGTCTGATTGCAATTCCACCTGAAATCTCAAATGGTAGCTCACCCCAGTCACAACCCTGTTTTTCAGCTTTATCCAAATTTAGATTTTACTGTAACATCAAAATCAGGAGCACTGTGGGTTTTTTAAACCTTAACGATTGACAATATTTAAATATTGATTAATGCTGCATATAAAATGCCTTAACCTCAACATGCAAGCATGATAAGCATGATACAGTCCAATTAACCTGGAAACAGTGAGATATGAGTTGCACATGCAATTTTAAATCACATATTCAGTTCTACTAACAGCAATAGTAACCATTTACTACTCAGAATGCGCCTCAAGATAATACTGCAACATTAAGATTTACTTGGGTCAAGAGTCAAAATGGTACTGTAAAATCTAACAAGGTCAATTGTGCCTGACACAGCGCCATATCTTACTCAATGAGGAACAAGTATAAAGCATTTTTTTGTGATTCAGAAAAATCTTGAACAGAGTTCATGTGCTTCACACTGGCAAAAAATAAAAATTTGTTTGAATGTTTCAGAGTTTCAGTTAAAGACACATAAGGTCAAGACTGCACTTCTGTACTGCAAAACCTTTAAGTTCACCTCACAATCAAGACTTGCTGAACCTAATGTTACCAGATACTCTAAGAAAAAGTTTCTAAATACTCCAACTACAACAACATGTTAATAGTAAGGTTTTTCAATCAGACCTACAGCTACAGGTTCCTCCAACACAAAAATACAAACCCAGCTTTCATTAGTGCTTAGAGAGCAATTACTTGAAATTACCTGAAACTGGAGAGGTTTCCTATTGACACTAAATAAACCAGGGGGGTGATCAGTTGTAAAACTTCCGAGGTAAGGACAACTTTCTCATGGGAAACACCATAAAATCAGGAATGCTTCCAGAATCCCTTCTGTGTAACTGGATACATGAGCACAAGACCTCCTAGTTTTCCATGCTATTCCATGACACATTTTGTACAAGAAGTTCCAGCATCTCTCCAAACCTTACCTGTTCTGACCATTTTACTGCTTTTTCTGTTAAATATCTGTACACAACAGGACGTCCCACTAAGTATGACAGCATATAGCAGAAAGAAGCTCCAAGTCCTGAAAAAAAAAAAAAAAACCCGAAGAAAAACAAACAACAAATGAGCAGAAACTCTATTTAATGTCAGCCTTGTGTCTGTATTAACTACACTGCCTGGCTAGAGCAGGTTTCCATGCAGCCCTCCATTACGGCTCACCTCCAGCAGTATGGACACACTCCCTAAGAATGTTGTTGACACAAGACTGTTTATTCCCAAGGCATTTTGTTCAACCTCAACACTCAAAGTAGACAACATTGATTACTTATCAGTTAATATTGAATGCTTCTGCAGTTCTAAGACTTTGAACAGTGAAAGCTTTGCAAATAACAGGCACAATGCCATTAAAGAATTTCAAACACGAAAACTGAACAGGGTCCTCCCTGCATTCTCAATACTAAGGCTCATCATGATTGCATCTTTTGCCCATGACATATTTTAAAGCTTGTTTATAACATACATTTCACATCTTAAACTAAGCTTCTTGCATATTTAAACCAGATAAAAAACAGATGAATTTTGCAGTGTGATAATAGAACCACAGTAATTGTATACTGAATTACAACTGGGTTCAGGCAGATGCTAAACAAATTTAGAGTGTGGGAAACCCTGATTCACACTCCAATGTCTTCGTTATTAAGAAAACCTGGAGAAACAGCTCAGTGTTTTGGATCATCACCCAATGCTACAGTGAATTTTGTGGGTAATGCATTCTTGCAGCAGAGCTGAGTAAGAACTCAATAGTTCATCAGAAACTGAAGTGCATGCCAATTTCAGACTGATCATTTCCAACAGGAAGCTGCTCAGATGCTTGGTTATATTCCAAATGGATAGAGATATATTCCCTCACGAACTACTTTCCATACTTACCAAACAAACAAGAAATAAGGCCAGTGGAAAGGGATAAAGAAACCCTGACAGGATACTGAGGAATATAGACCCAGGAATAGCAAATGTTTGCAAACTGGATGCATCTTTGTTAAGGAAAAACACATTTCTAAAAAGCTACATGGTTCTTAATTTTATAACATTTTACAATTAGAAAAAACAGCCTTACTTCAAAGAGCCTTACTTCAAAAAGCCTTTTGTGGAGTAGCACACAAAGCTGAAGCACAGAGCAACAAGATGCAGATCCATCACAACACATACAAACAGTAAGTCACAAAGTAATAAATGCTGACCACATTTTTCTCTTTATCTGTGCTACAGCTGCCACAGAGGATTTACTGTGACTTCCAGGAAACACCTGATTTTACCCTGTTGACTAGAGATGTGCAGTTTCAGACATTCTCTCTGGAGAGTTCACAGGCCTGTCCGAGCCCATAAGCACAAGTTTCACGGAAGACTGAATGTATGAAGGCAGCTATTACTTCCTTACAAATAGGCTCAGTGTAATCACTTACTACAGGAGCTGATGACTAATTTCAGTCAGAAATTTTTGAAAGGCAAAAATTAGGTTTCTGCAGCATAAGCAAGCAGGTTGTTGGACTTACGGCTTGCTAGGCATACTTGAGACTATGATGCATTGCCCACTTTGGATAGAAAAGTTATAAAGCAAAAAAAAACCTGTACACTATTTTACCCAAGTTGAGCTGACAGAAATATTAAAAAGCCCAATAGTTTTCCTGAGTGCAGTACAGCACAGCTTTTGCTAAGCCATGCCAAGGTTCAGAGGTAACTGTACCGTGCCTGGATACTGACCACATTCTGCTGCTACGACAGTAAAGGTCATCACATCTAGAACTGCTAGAGCAGCTCAAAAGAGCCAACTTATCTACTCCTTGTTAATTTATAAACTAATGTTTTAATTTTCTTCCTAGATCTATAATTCGGGAAATATTAAATACTTCTTGTGGAATACTTTGAAAGAATGAGCTGAAGGATATTACTAATGGCACGTTCAGTGCTGACTCTCCTGAGTTACAAAAGCCTCCTGCATTAAAACTGTGACACAAACCTCTTCTACAGCTTTAAAGTTATTAACCTTTAGATAAGTGTTCCAGTTAAGAGTGTGTTTAATGATTAATTAATATGTTCAGCACTCAGAAAAAAGAAGTCACCACAGAACATAGGTAGCCTTTGTGTCTCTCTGGACAGAAAGCACTTCAGAAATTTGTCTCTCTAAAAGAAAACAGAGATTTGGTTTTGTGAATTTGGGCACGACAGAAATGAAAGATGGCTCAAAATATTTTCCTTCAGAAATACTGCTAAATATTCTATAAATTACCTTTACGTGGAACTTCGAATGCCTTAAGGAAGAACAAAGCAGTAGTCAGTTTTCTTTTAGAGCAAACAGTAATTTCTACCTCAAAATTCACTTTATTTTAGAAGTTACTAAAGTAAGACCAAGCCTAAAATACAGAGAAAAGTTTTCAAATTTCCAAGAGTTTCAAATATTTGTCTCTTTGTAGACACTCCTAGGGATGTTAAACTGCATCCATGACCAAGAATTTATCAAACTGTACTTTTCATTTTCAGAGAAGCACGACTACATTAAAACTGCCCTTTATATCAGAAAAAGGATACAAAACATATGTGGCAAAATAAGCCACTAACACTTGAACGTAAAATGTGTCCTTGTATTTGGACAAGACTTTCCCCAAGGCCTTTGCATCATCCATATCTCTAGGAACCTTTATACATTCTCTTTCTTCTCTGAAGAGAAAAAAAAAAAAAAAAGCAGGAATGATGGAAATATAATCAAACAGTGTAGTACAATTACTTACTGAATACAGAGATAATTAGATACACTACAACACTAAATTACAGCTTCAGCAAACAAACCATGATTATTGTTGTACTAATGTTCTCAGATGAACACCTAATATTTACAGTGTGGTATATATTAGAAAATCCCCGATTTTAGGTATTTGCAAGCTGGGTATTTTATTCAGTACAATGAAGTGCTTCTTTTCTAGGCTTTTTTTTTTTCTTACCAAGTACCGATGAAAAAAAAAATTGCACAAACCAAACCTTGGCAAGTGAAAGCAGCCAACATTTCAGCCAAAACCAACTACAGCTGCCTCAGTGCTGGGGTCAGAACAGTTAAGTGCAGCAGGAGTGGCAGAACTTCACCTCACAAACAAATAAAGTTCTAAGGGCAAAAATCTCATGTCCCACCTTAATCTGGTGCAACCCTGGGCAGCACATTTAAGCGTCTTTGTTCCGTCTGTATCAGGCTTAGGGATGGGCCACTGCAAACTGACCTTGTTGAGCAAGTTAATCAGACAGAAATTTAACTACTAAAAGTGAAAAAGAAGGCTGCCAGACAAGCAGGCTTCCTCCTGTCAGCCTGCCTGCCATCCCAACACAAGTACAGGGTGCAACAAGGAGGAGAAAAAGTGAATGCAAAGGTCAGCTAGGAAGGAAGAAGGATTTCCCCTTTTGGGGACAGCCTCCAGATTCACCAAGGCACAAGGAAGTTTCAAGTGAACTTGGCCTGAACCAAACACACTCTGGCTCTCAGCTGAAGGTGGCCAAGAAGAGTCAGTTACCACTGACAATGTGCCAGGGGGTAACACCTCACAACACAGGATCTCCACTGTGCAACAGAAACCTCAGATCAAGAACAATTCTCTGAGTTTGTGTCATATCCCCATGCACGCTCATCTACAGTCCCATACTGAAAAGAAAATAAATTGATAAATTAAACTTTTATAACATACTTACTCACTAAGTTGTGGGAAATTTTTATATACCAGGAACATAAGGAAAGCAGCTGATAAGAAGATGGACACTAAAATAAGAAGTGATGTCCGAGCTGATCCACCTTCTGCAAGAGCTTTCCCTGAAATTAAACATGAAACAAAGTTAGAAAAAAACCCAGCCCTAGCAAAACAAAACAAAAAAGCCCCAATCCCTCATGATTTACGGCAGATTTCAAACTTATCCTTTAAGGGAATATTAAAGTAAACTCTCTGTGGACATCTTCCAAACAATGCTTTCAATAACACACATTGCTCACATTCCCTGAAAGCTTTCAAACAACTTTGAAGTTTTCATGATGGCAAACATCCCACAGAAGTCACCCTCTATGATCCATAATAATTTAAGCCTCAATTAATAAATACATTTGTAAAAGCAAAAAATAGAGCTGAACAACGTAAGCCATATATATGTTTTCCTTTATGCCAGAAATCTTCTGCCAGTCTAATTAACTAGAGATTCAACTTGAAGTTCAATTTCCAGGATGTACAATGTAACTTAAAAACCTGCTCATTAACAGATTTTGGGGTTTTTTTTCCCCTCTAATGAAAGACTATCAGATACAGCCAGTTAGGTGAGACACTCATTAGGAGGACATCTACATAAACACACATGCTAGCCTATGATATAAAGTGCTAGTCTTGGGAATTACACATTATTTTACATCCATTATTTATATCCATGTGGATATATATACATAAGTGTTTATCAGCTTTTAAGTCCTTGTGTAGTGGAAGCAATTGGAGCACAGTAAGTGACGTAATGATGTTTTAGGCCTCTTCTGTATTTTATATTTTTATCAAAATGACCGCGTAAGTGCAATACATTCATAAACACAAATGCAACTACACCTATAAAGAATTTATAACTGAAATGAACACCATGCTAAGTACTCTATGCATCCACACCGGCGTGTGTGTGTGTGCATGTACCAAACCACTTTCTCCTCAGGCACTTTGAGGCTCACCCAGCTTCCCACCCAGGGTCACCCGGAGAGCACACAAAGAGCCGAGGCTGTGTTTTCCCTCGCAGACGCCTCTCGCACAATGCCAACACACAACACTCAAGTGGGTCACGCCGACACCTCACTGTTGCGAAATGCAGCGACTGGGTGACGAAACCCACGGAGCCCGCTGGGCCAGCTGGCGATTTTATCGCCTGTAAGGCTTTTTAGGTGTAAGGTCAGCGCGACCCCACAGCTGTGCACTGGGTCAGCCGAGGCCAAAGGCAACATCCACAAAGCAATTACAAGCACAGAATCCCAGGAGGGCCAGGCTGGGGGGGTACCCGGCCCAAGCTCGCAGCTGGAGGCTCATCCCGGGAACAGGATCCGCACGGCTCCCGGTATCGCCACTCACGGAGGGAGACTCCAACCCTCTCCGCGCAGCCTGTCCCAGGCACTGCACCGCGGCTGTTCTGACAACACCTCCTCCAGGGAGCAAAGCAAATTACAGATAAATAAACAAATAACCAACTTATGGGGCAACAAAGGAAAACTCAGCCGACTGCGCTTTCTGCCACTTCTACTTTATGCACTTCAGGCGTGCCGGTAGTGCAATTACACCAACACACACAGAGGCACGGAGCACGCGTCTTCCCTCCCGGGGAAAGGGAAAGGGCTCGGTGCCCATTTCGGGCGCCGAGGGGCGGGGGCCGCCTCACCCCACACGCACCGGAGGGGCCCGGCCCGGCCGCCCCGGTGCCGTTGCCCGAGAGCACCGAGAGCCGCACGGGCACCGACACCCCATCGGGCACCGTCCGATACCAGGGCGAGGTCAGCCCCGCTCCCGCCGCCCCGAGCTCCCGGCACCTTCCAGAAGCTGCCGCTGGTGCCTGGCGCTCTCCGCCGCCGCCTGGCAAGGCCCGCGCTCCGCCGCCCTTCGCTGCGCCATGGCTCTGCGGCGCCCCGGGGACCGGCGAGTCAGGGCCGGGACAGGCCTCGGCGGCACCGGAGCCGCGGGGAGCAGGAGGCGGGACCGGCAGCACCGGGAGCCGCGGGCAGGAGGAGGAGAAGGAGGAGGCGGGACCGGCCGCTCCTCCTCTCCTCACCCCACCGGGTCGCGGCCGCGCTCCCGCCCCCGCCGCTGCACGGCGCATGCGCTTTTCTCGGGACATTACGGCTTCGCTGTGGTGTACGGGAGCACGTGTTGTCCTTGAAATGCGGTGGCGGGTTAGTGGCGGTAAATACGGTAACGCCGGCTTTTGGGCGTACCCGTATGTGTATATACGGTAACAGGGATGCGCTCACTAGTGGTAAATACGGTGCGGGGCGGCCCCGGCTACGAAGGAATGACATAAATCGCATAAATCCCAGGCTCAGTTAGGTTGGGAAAGGCCTCTGATATCACCCGAGTCCAGCCCATGACCGAGCACCGCCGTGTCAACCAGACCATGGCACTGCCACGTCCAGTCGTTCCGTCAAAACCCGCAGGGACGGTGACTCCACCAGGTGCGTGGGCAGTCCTTCCAGTGTAGAATCACCTTTCCTGCGAATAAATTCCTCCTGATGTCCGACCTGAACCTCCCATGGCATACGAGGAGAAGTTCTACAGGTTGTGTTCTCTTGTCCTGGCTCTGGTTGCCTGGGAGAAGGACCCGACCCTCCCCGGGAACACTCTCCGGAATTGCGGAGCCACAAGGTTCCTCCTGATCCCCCTTTTCTCCCGGCTCCCAGCTCCCTCAGCCGCTCCCCTCAGCACTCCAGACCCTTCCCCAATTCCTTTCCCTTCCCTGGACACACTCCAGCGCCGATCGTGCCCCAGGGCAGCGGGATAAAGCCCGTGTGCGAGCTCGTTTTCCCTCGGCGATGCTTTCCGTCAGCGAAGGGAGCGGGATCTCCCCTCGGGAAGCGGAGGCGGGAGCCCCTCCGCGCCTCTGGAACTCCGCGGCCGCCCAGGAAAAGGTGAACCTTGTTCCGTTTGTTCCTCTCGTTCGAAAATAAAAACCTATTTGCCGGGAAGAAGAACAATTCCTCTATCAGCCCCGGGATTTTCCTCGGGTCGGCTCCTGTCAGTAAGAACGCCTGAAATCCCGCAGCAAAGCCAGAGGGGCATGTCCCGGTGCTCGCAGATGCCGTGCGGGCAGCGCAGTGATACAGGGAGAGCTCCGCAGGGAGAGCCTGGATCCCCGCGGACAGCGCACATCGCCACCCTTCTGGGCACACGGAGCCTGATGGAGCTGCTGTGGCTCCCCTCGTCTCTTTCCAGCTGTGCCTGCTTAGAAATGTTCAAGCTTTCCTCGGGATCTTCTGGAAAGGAAGCTCTCCTGGGAGAGCTGGGCACTCCGATTTAATTTCAGCCTTGTTTGTCTGATTACTCCACCTTTACACCGTGACTAAACAGCTATTAAATTGCTGATACAGGCCCCAGCAGATCAGGTGTTTCAAGTTGTGTTTCCCGAGATCACAGGTCTTTCCAAAGCCATGAGGGAGATGCAGGTCAGCACACAGCAGAGCTCTTAAAAGCGTGGCTTTATTGCTATGTGTACAAAACTCGCTGGTGTTACAGGAAGTTGATTCATTTAAGATCTAAATAGTCTAATACGCTATTACACAAGTCCAGCCCCTGCCAAATCCAGTGGCAGGAAATAATCCAAGCTATAAATTGTGGTCAGATTCCACATAAAGTTTCAAATCATGAGCAGATTCTATGTGAACCTATAATTTATTCAAAATGTATTTCTTTTAGAATCAAATTATTTAAAATTATTTCATTAAATAGTGTAATTAGCTCTTTTAATATTTGCAATTGATAATTCAGGAATTTAGTGCCCTGAGAAGCCAGTTAGGTCTATGAATTTGCTGCTCTGGGCATTGATGCCAGATGAGGGAGTGCTTTGTTTTTTCAAACCCTTTCACTAGAAAATTGTACCTATTAGCAAGATGGGGATTGCTGACACTGTAGAAAATGGCACATTTTCCCCTATTGTAAATGTACATCATGTTTGTCATCTCTTTTTGGTTATTACTTTTGAAACTCCAGGTAAAATGATTCAAACACTGGTATTCTTTCCTCTCTAACTTCTGACAAACCATCAAATAGATACTAAACTGAAGAATGTTGGAAGCAAAATCGGAAAGCAGATTATTATGCAGAGGAATCATCCTGAAAAAGAAGAGGAAAGATGCAGACTGAAAGATATAAATAAAATAAGTACCACAATTTAAAAGTGTAGATGCTAAATGCTGCAAGGACCATCTCTCATTTTGGTGAGGTGGATTGCTCATTCAGTGGGGTATCATTCCCACTTTGGTTGTGGTTGTTGTTCAGTAGCTACCCAGAGCCAAGGAGCTGGGCAGAGCCTGCTCCGGGGGATGTCTGATTTCTAATTGACCTGCCCTGTATTGTGTACCCATCTGTGTAACCCAAATGCAGGTGAACTGACACACAGGTCAGGCAACTTCTGATTCTTGCTGAATTCTATGAATTCCCCTGTCCAAGACACCATTGTGATACACCCAGCAAGCAATTTCAACAATATAGATTTGCTCTGTGTTTCCCCTTCCATTTAGTAAAAAGCACATGGCCTGCAGATGATTCCCAGGATGCTGATTCTGCAGTAAGTTCACAGTGTTAGTATATGTCTCATTAAAAATAGAGAAGATAACTCTAATCACCTCACTTTTAGCTCTCTGAATTACTGCCAGAGTGAAATGTAAGGATTCGTTATTAGCTGTATCACTTTGCAGTTGATATGTACTGCACAAATTGTATTTGTTAGACTGGATTAGTAGCAGACTTTTAAATTGTTCTTCACTGCTCTTGGTTCCCCTTGCTGGGGGGTACTGCTGGTGTGAATGTGTTGTCTATTCCACTAAACTTTGAAATTATCAGTGTTTAGTATCTGCTGATAATATGAATAGTCCCCTGCAAAGATGTCCACATCTAACAAATGTCAGCAGAACCTCTGCACTCACTCAGGAGAAAAAAAACAACACGTCTGGGGAATGTTTTTTAAGGTTCACTCTATAAGTAGAATAATTCAGGAACTCTACTTAGAAGATTACCTTAGATTTATTTACTGGAAAGAAGGCAAAGAATGAAAAATACTGCCATAGGCCACATCCTGTATGTGTTCAGAGGAGAAAGAATTTTGGTAGCAGGAATTCAGTGAGTATCAAGGAAATTTTTGACACATGGTTGAGATCAGCACTGCCAGGAACAGCTTCACTCCACAGCACACTGGGAACCATAGCTAGGGACTGAAAACAGATTTATTCTCATCGTGTATAAAGCATCCCCTATATATAATGTATGACTTAAGAAGCAGCACAAAACCTGCTCTGTCTTTGGAGCATGCCCACCTGGCAGGGAACACATGTTGCAGAATGCTTTGTCCAGCAGAGAAATGAGAGAAGGACTCCAGTCTCCAGCTGGAATTTGCTCCGTGGCTTTACCAGTGGGAGCAGCACTCTCTCTGTACTTAAGAGGCTAGAGACTGAATGGGCAAAAAGCTTTATATGAAATGTTTTTGTAAAATACACCTTAAACTCAGCATATGAGTCCTTTCAAATTATCTGTGAACCAAAAAGAAAAATGCTTTTCTGACCTGCTGGAAATTAACAAAATAGATGGACATCTATCAGGGCAGCAGCTAAGTGGTCAGCTCCATGAAGTCATAACTTCCTTCTGTGGGTGGCTGGATGAAATGCTTTACTTTTGTCAGATTGAAAGAGTTGTCTTCCCTCAGCACACCAGTTCGTGTTTGCCTCTTTTCTAAATCACTGCTAGGTGGACCGATAGAGCCCATGTCACACGGCTGAGGCACTGACACTGCTGATGCTCTGTGGGCTCTCATGCTAATTGGCAGCAAGAGGAAGGAGGATGAGAGATTAAGTGATCCTGCTTCTGAGAGCTTCTAGCTGAAAATGATAAAAACCAGAAACATTAATCAACAAGTAAATCATACACATAATTTCTTGAGAAATGCAGATTCAGAACCCTATTTTCCCCTATTACTCTCTTATTTTTGACACAAAGCAAACTGCATTGTTTTAACATTTTTATTTTGTATAAATATGGCAAGAAATTAAACCTCAAACATTTATTGTCATTCTATCCAAATTCTAATTTAAACCAAATAAACCCATGTGCTTGGAAGGGGGCTTGTGTGTTTTACTGAGCTCATACTTTGATCAGTTATGGTGAGGAGTCTGAGGATGTAACTGGAGAATAATCAGCTGCACAGGAGCCAACTTTGGGTAGAATGCAAATGCACTGATCAAAATGAATAAAAAATGCCACCAACAAGTGAGATAAATAACAATGAGCACTTATTTGTAGCTGTTTGTGTGAATGAAGGATTAAAAATTTCTTGGAGACCAGAGGAGAGTTAATGAAAGCTTTTATTTATAAAAGTCAGTGCTCAAGGACAGAAGCTGAAAAAACCACTAAGCAGCAAGAGAGAGCAAAACTTGTATTCATTAAAATGAGTTGAATCTGAGCTCAGGGATCATAAATATTCAGATTTGTTTCTCTTCTGGTATTTTTTTTAATAGAAAGTATGTTTTTTAAGTCCTATTGTCCATTTTATGTACATTTTGGCTACATACTGCACATATGTACAGACATACACTGTACACAGGTTAATCGACAAATGTACAAAGTGCAGATTTTTAATAGTGTGCACCTATTTTCACTACTGCTTAATTACTTAGGAACACAATGAAACAGATAGAAACAGATAGCTATGATGTTTCCATTCCAAGTGGTAAAAATAAGAGCCAGAT